AGTAGCTGGGACTGCAGGCACATACCACCATACCCAGCTAATTTTTTTTTTTTTAATTTTTTTGTAGAAACAGTGTCTCACTATATTGCCAGGGGGTCTCAAACTCCTGGTTCAAGCCATCCTCCTGCCTTTGCCTTCCAAAGTGCTAGAATTATAAGCATGAGCCACCCTTACCAGCCAGATCCCCTTTCTAAAACAGCTTTATTGGCCGGGCGCAGTGGCTCATGCCTGTAATGCTAGCACTCTGGGAGGCTGAGGCGGGAGGATCACTTGAGCTCAGGAGTTGGAGACCAGCCTGAGCAAGAGCGAGACCCTGTCTCTACTAAAAATAGAAAAAATTAGCGAGGTTAGCCAGGCACAGTGGCTCACACCTACTCGGGAGGCTGAGGCAGGAGCATCCCTTGAGCACAGGAGTTTAAGTTTGCAGTGAGCTATAATGACACCATTGCACTCTAGCCCAGGTGACAGAGTGAGACTCTATCTCAAAAAAATCCGCAGCTTTATTATCATTTAAATTCTCTAAAATTCACTCATTTAAATTGTATAATTCAATGGTTTTTAGTATATTCAGAGTTGTGCAATTATCACTATAATCTAAGTTGAGAATATTTTCAAAAAGAAACCCCATACTCATTAGCAGTCACTCCCCAATCCCCCTCCCCCTCAGCCCCTGGCAACCCCTAATGATGTCCCCGTGTCTCTGTGGATTTGCCTATTCTGGACATGTCACACACACTGCCTATGCTCTGTTTTTCCTCTTAGGTGGACCGCCGCTACCAGAGCCGGCTACAAGACCTGAAAGATCGCCTGGAGCAGTCGGAGAGCACCAACCGCAGCATGCAGAACTATGTCCAGTTCCTGAAGTCGTCATATGCCAATGTGTTTGGGGACAGTCCCTATGCTACCTACCTGACCAGCTCCCCCATCCGCTCCCGATCTCCTCCTGCCTGAGGCCACCTGTCTAGGGCCTAGAGCCCTGACTCATGCCATGGGAACTAAGTAGTTGCCAAGCCATAGCCGGAAAGCCAGTGGGTTTTCCTCTCACTCCCAGTGATGAAGTGCGTTCAGGATCTTGACCTTAGCTACTGGCTCCAGAAAAGTACGTAAAGCAGCAGGGATGAAGCAGGAAGCACTTGGGTGTCTCCTTCCTGATATAGTTGCCTAATCGAAGATTTCTTAATTACCTTGACAGCCCTTAAATTAACTACTACGTTCGGGTACCAGATTTTAACTTACCATGACTTTGCTCCTTCCTCTCCCGAGAGAATATTTGGACTGGACTTTTTCCACCAGTCCCCTTACAGCCCTCATCTTTTTAGGGATCTCTCTCTTGGATTTTCTGACCTCAACCAGCAGGAGCTCCTCCCAGGCTGTGAGCACCTTCACTTGTTTTTTTTCTGATTTCACGGGTGTGGTGTTTCCCAAGCTCAGTGCAAACGTCTCATGCCTGAGTTTTTTTGAGGCCACTGGCCCCCAGGCATTTCACAGCAGACCCTTGAGGGCTTGTGTCCATTTGGCTTTTTACAAGTATAATCCTATTCTCATTAATTTTTGTTTCTCTTTGCCTGATGTGTATCTGTGGAATTCATCCATTCTTGAAATATTTGTGTGGTTTTATAAAAAGCTTTTATAATCAGTTACTTAAGTCTCCATTGGATGATTTTCTTTACCGCACCCCCCTCATCCCTCTTCTAAAAATGATTAAACTCTGCAGGAGAGCCAGAAACATTTTTTAAATTACTTGGTACATGTAAGATTTGTTTTTCATTTCATTTTAGCTCAGGTTGGTTCTTTCTCCTTTGCACATTTTCACATTACAATCCATGAGGTGTGTGCAGGACACGGACTTCCATAAGGCGTTGCTCAGCGTTTGGGGCAGACCATATTAGCAGTTAGGAAGAGCGTGGGATGGTGTACAGCGTATTTTTAAAATGTTAATCAGTTTCTGAATGATAAGAACATAGGCCGTTTTTATTCACATTTTCCTGCATCTAAAAAGAAAGAATGAAGAAATTCTTTAGAGAAGAGAACAAATTGGTACTGTGTTGACTGCTACCCTTTCCATTCCCGCTGTTCTTGGCTTTCTGGGTAATCCAGTCTTGTCATTTCTCAGCCACTCTAATCCAAGTCAAAAACTCTTGAGAATTCCTGTATGTCCTTAAGCAGTGGGCCCCACCCAGGCGTCTGGATTTCGAAGACCAGAAATCTCTCTCCCCCCCCACCATTTTGAGGACATTCGTAGTTTCCAGCTTTCACTTTTTCTAAGGAAGATTATTAAAACCCTACTAGCGTGGCCGGGCAAGGTGGCTCACGCCTGTAATCCTAGCACCCTGGGAGGCCGAGGCGGGTGGATTGTTTGACCTCAGGTGTTCGAGACCAGCCTAAAATTAGAAAGAAATTTCTAAAATTAGAAAGAAATTAACCGGCCAACTAAAAATATATAGAAAAAATTAGCCGGGCATGGTGGTGCATGCCTGTAGTCCCAGCTACTCGGGAGGCTGAGGCAGAAGGATTGCTTGAGCCCAGGAGTTTGAGGTTGCTGTGAGCTAGGCTGACGCCACAGCACTCACTCTAGCCCGGGCAAAAGAGTGAGACTCTGTCTCAAAAAAAAAAAAAACCCTACTAGCTACCACTGCCACAAAACCAAGCCCAATTTCATACCCTTAATGGAAATGGACTTGAACTTATAATATTGGAAAGACTTTTCTAAGAAAGGACAGTTAGCAAATTTACACCAACGTGAATATATATCTGTACAACTCATTATTTTTGCTCTATTTTTCTTTGTAAAATATTCTATCACAAAAAGTCCAGAGAGTTTGTAAAAACTCAGAAAATGAAAAATGTTCATATTGTTCATACTCCAAAGAGAATCCTTCCTACCTCACACAGATCCCATAGAACAATGGGGATACAAGGGTCAAAAAGCCAGGGAAAGAGTAAAATGGTGGTTACCAGAGGTTGGGAAGGGTAGCAAGGAGTGGGGGATAAAGTGGGGATGGTTAATGGGTGCAAAAATATAGTTAGATACAATGAACAACACTTGATAGCACAACAAAGTGATTATAATTAATAAGTTAGGGTATGCTCTAAAATAAAGAGTGGAATTGGAATGTTCCTAACATAAATTTCTGAGGTTTTGGATACCCCAATTACTTTCATTTGATTAATTCTCATTGTATGCCTGTATCAAAACATCACATGTACCCTATAAAGATATATAACTATTATGTACCCATAATAATTAAAAAACTTGGATGAAGGGAGAAAAGGAAAAAAAAAAAGTCAGGTCCCAGTTACAGCTGTCTCTGGGCAATTGTGACTTATTTTTATTGAGATATTATTAACATACTATAAAATTCACCCTTTTAAAGTTTATATATAATTCAGTGGTTTTTAGCATATTCAGCAAGTTGTGCAACTATCACCATTATCTAATTCTAGACCATTTTCATCACCCCCAGAAGAAACTTAACCCATAAGCGGTCCTTCCCCATTCCCATCCTCCAGCTGGCAACCACAAATAGTCTCTCTGGCTCTGTGGATTTGCCTGTTCTAGACACTTCACGTAAATGGAATTGTCCAATATGTGGCTTCTTTGACTTAGCGTATTTCCAGATTCACATCGTAGCATGTTATCAGTATTTTATACTTGTATTGCTGAATAATATTCCAGCGTATAGATAATAGTGTTTTCTCTCATGGCAACCCACGGCTGGAACTGCCCCAAAAGCTGCCGCAGAGGAATTCCCCACAAGGGAATGCCCCAAACCCTCTGGAGATGGGGTGATTGGGATTCCAAGGAAGCACTAAGGGCCAGGGTGATCAGTCCAAAGCGCTTACCAGGGGAATTTACATACACAGTGCTGCAATTCTCCAGGCTGACAGCAAGAGAGAAGGGGTGTTCTACCCAGGTACGTCCAGAGCGATGGGGGATCAAGGTATGGAGTTTGTATGAGAGTTTGAGGAATTTGTCTCAGGGCAAGGGCTAGTTTCTTTCAGTGCTTTGGGCAAAAACTTAGATACCTTTATGAGTGCCTGGGAATGTTTCAAGGCCTGGGTTTGGCGGCAAGCCTGCTGGGAAAAACCTGCAGCTGCTGAGTCACAGAGCCTTCAAGGCAGTCTGTGATACTCGGTCACGACACAGAAAGTGGAGGGAACTGGGGAACCCTACATATAGTGCCATATTTTATTCACTCACCACGTGATGGACACACGGATTTGCTTTCACTTTTTGGCTACTATGAATAACGCTGCTATGAACGTTCACGTATGTACAAGTCTGCGTAGACGTGGGGGGTTGCCAGACTGTCTTCCGCAGCAGCTGCTCCATTTTACAATCCCATGAACAGTGTATAAGGGTTCCAGTTTGCCCGAATCCTCAATGAACGGCCGATTTTGCGCAACCCACAGAGCTCCCGGCTGGTGTTCCCCTCTGCAGAGTTAGCCCCAGCAGCCGGAGACAGCGCCGGCGGTGGGGGGTGGGGCCGTTAGGGGAGGGGCTGCACTGCGCTGCGTGCGTGCCCCGGAAGCGGAAGCCAGCGCCCCTTTGCCGGCGGCCGATTCGAGGGCTTGTTTTGTCACAAGCGGAGCCTCTGAGGAGCTGGAAGAGGGCGGACCATGCCGTCCGAGGGTCGCTGCTGGGAGACCCTGCAGGCTCTGCGTAGTTCCAACAAAGGTCGCCTTTGCTACCACCGCGACTGGCAGCTGCGGGGTGAGGTGAGCGGCGGCCCCGGAGGGCCTAGGCCCTCTCGCCCCTCGCGACGGGATCTTGCTCTTGCTTAGCTCTTGGCACGCCCTGCGCCCGGGATCCCGTGCGTTCTAACACCTTGCATTTATTTCTTGACTCCTGTTTGTGCGTCTGCCTGTTTTAGAGTTTCTGGCCTCTCCAACCTGTTCTAGCCGTTCGGAGATCTGCCCTTACTTCAGAGGTGCTCTGCTCTCTGAAGGCTTCATTGCTGCCCCCAGCCAGAGTTGGGCGCTTCGTATTGTGTTGTCAAAGCAATCCTGGCCTTTCAGGGTCAGTTAATTTACTGACTCATGTGCCAGGAGCTCCAGATTTAGCAGCGCACGATTAACACGACCTAACCCATTGCTGTCAGTGAAGTGATCAAGTTTTTAGATGACATTTGGCTGACCTGGAAAGTCAGTGGGGACGTGATCACTGTACTGGAGGTGGGATGATGTGGAGACAGTTAAAGCAGAGCTACTATCCCCGAGTTGCTGGTCGTTAGCTTCAGGCAGGACATTGTCCTGTCTCTTCAGACTTGTGTGGGAAACAATTCTAAAGTATTTCCCCGTCTTTCATATCGTTGACAGTTTTAAAGTATACAGACCTTACATTCTGTAGGTTAACTCCCAACCTGGGTCTGTCTGGTGCTTTCAAACCATCAGTTTATACATTTATACATTTTTTTTTTTTTTTTGCTCACTCTGCCACGCGGCTACTAGAGTGCAGTGCCGTCGTCATAGCTCACTGCAGTCTCACACGCTTGGGCTCAAGCGATCCTCCTGCCTCAGCCTCCAGAGTAGCTGGGACTACAGGCACCCAGCTAATTTTTCTATTTTTTTGTGGACGGGGTCTTGCTCTTGCTCAGGCTGGTCTCCAACTCCTGACCTCAAGCAATCCTCCCACCTCGGCCTCCCAAAGTGCTAGAATTACAGGCACGCAGCCAGCCTCAGGTTATGCATTCTTAAATAGAATACCACAGAATGATGTCCTGTTCTCAGTAAGTCACCTGAGGAAGCACACAGATATCAACCTGTCCCAACACTGGTGTTGCTAACCTTGATCACCTGGTCACATTGTTATCCATCAGGTCTCTCTTTTTTTTTTTTTTTTTTTTGAGACAGAGTCTCACTCTGTTGCCCGGGCTAGAGTGAGTGTCGTGGCGTCAGCCTAGCTCACAGCAACCTCAAACTCCTGGGCTCAAACGATCCTCCTGCCTCAGCCTCCCGAGTCGCTGGGACTACCAGCATGTGCCACCATGCCCGGCTAATTTTTTCTATATTTTTTTAGTTGTCCGGTTAATTTCTTTCTATTTTTAGTAGAGACGGGGTCTCACTCTTGCTCAGGCTGGTTTCGAACTCCTGAGCTCAAAGAATCCGCCCGCCTCGGCCTCCCAGAGTGCTAGGATTACAGGCGTGAACCACCGCGCCCGGCCCATCAGGTCTCTTTATATCCACCATTCCTTCTATTAATACATTTGTTAGTTGGCATTCTGCTGTAAGGAGAAGCTTTCTTTTCTTCACTGTTTAGTTACATCAGTATGAACTTATGCGTGCCTATTTTATTCAGTGAGTTATAATCCATTATTTATTTATTTTAAATGTCCCACATTTTGTGTGCTTGTATCAAAATATCATATGTACCACATAAATATGTATGACTATTATGTATCCATAAAAATTAAAAAAAAGAAAAAAGGTGTCCCAGATTTGGCCAGTGGGAGCCTCTTTAAATTGGCTCTTGTGTTCCTTTGACATGTTTCCATCATTCATTGACATTTCTTTCCTTTTTCGCACAACAAGGTGTCCCAGGGGCAAGTTCTACTTTCCCTGTCCCAACCCTAGAATCAGCTGTTTCTCCAAAGACCCTGAATTCTTTTGAAGTGGAGGATGGTACTGTATAGAAACTAAGATCTAGTTCAGGGTGCTCATTGTTGCTTGGGTACCATTGCTTCTAAGCATTCTCAGTAGACGGAGCTAAGAAATCTATGTATGTATATGTGTACACACATCCACACTTAAATGCTATCTATAACTATTTCTCTATTTGTATGTACATATATATTATGAAACCATGGGTTCGTACGTATAAATGCCATTTCCAATCCCGTACCTCAGGGTTCTTTTTAACTTTCCCGCATCCGTGTTTGTAAATTTGGCTCTTGTTATTCTCAATATATTTACTTATTTGCTCAAGCAACTCACTTATTTAGTTCATGGTAGCAATCTCCCAGCCACTCTGGTTGTTTCTTCTGACAGCCTCCTTCGTACTTGCCTGTACCTCCACCCACCTTCCCCAATCATCAGCTGCCTTGCTGGCACCTCCATGCCAACGGAGGAGGGAAAGGGCCTCGTGGTCATTGTCAGTACTTCCTTACTTTCTCATGCAACAAAAAGTTCCAGGTGCATCTTATATTTTCCAGCCTCAGCTCTGGAACCTGCCTTTTCGGCAAAGACCGCTGGTTTTGTTTAGTGTAAAATTATATTTAGAAACCAAGATCTGGCACTAGATATCCTCATTATTTCTACTAGGGATGCAAACCACATTTATATCTATTTCTATATACATTAAAGACCATGAGTTCATAATAGTATCTCCACCATAGGATTCATTCTACTTTTCCCCTTTCAGTTCTCTGACAGTGAAAAACCTGGCTCCCACATCCACAATATATTTATTTCCTCAAGCCTAGAATACATAGAAAATAGTTTTTGAATTTTAGAATATGGAATGCCTCTGTGAAACAAATCTACTAACTAGGATTCAGGGTTTTTTTGTTTCTAGTCTGAAAGTTTGTGGTTAAAATACTGGGTTCAAAAAGTTATTTAGGTTAGTTCCACCTCCACTTCCACCTCTGCCAATATGATTACTTTATTCATTTGTTTTTGTTTGTATTCTATTTAAAGTTTTTTCTCCCACCCTTGTTGATTTTGGTTATTTTGAATATGTGAAACATTAAGATGATTACAAAATCAGAACTGTACAATAAAGTGTGCCAGAGAAGGGTCACTCCCCAACCCCTTCTCAAGTTCATATCCACTCCCTATAAGTAAGCGATCTCATTAGTTTCTAGTTTCTTGTTTCTGTGTTATTTTAAATAAACAAATTGATGCATGTTTTGTTATTTCCCATTCTTTTCTATACAAAACAGATAACTTTTTTGTACTTGTCTTTTTTAATCTAATATATCCTAGAAATCACTCCATATCAGTTTTTGAGTTTTTTCCCAGTTGCATAGTATTTTGTTGTATGGAGGTTCCACAGTTAATTCAACCACTCTACTATGTATGGGTTTTTAGGTTGCTCCCAATGTTTTGCAGTTACAAGCAGTATGACAGTGAATAATCTTGTACATGAGCATTTTCATTTTGTGGGAAGTATATCTTCAGGATAAAATCCTAGAAGTGAGATCACTGGATCAAAAGGTAAATCTAGATGTAGTTTTGTTGACCAATTCCCTTCCGTAGTGGATATATCAATTTGCCTTGAATCAGCAATGCACGATCATGCCCATTTGCCTACAGCTTTGTCAACACAATGCATTATTATACTTTTTAATTTTTTGCTTATTTAATAGGGAAGAATAAGATCTCAGTGTAGTTTTACTATACATTTCTCTCTTAGATGAGGTTGAACATCCTTTCCTATAGTTGAAACTGTTTTATTTCTTTATTTGTGAATCGCTTGTTTATGTCTTTGCACATTTTTCTATTGGGGGTTTTGGTACTGTTTTCCTTCTAATTTATACAAGTTCTTTATGTATTGGGATAATAGCCCGTTATCTGTGATATATCTTGCATTTATATTTTTCTAGTTTGTTAATTGAGTTTTTCTTTATTTATGGTGTTTTTTGTATATATGGCTTTACACTTTGTACTTGAAAATTTGCTCCTAGAATTAATTTTGGTGTAAGGAATGAATAAAAGGTGTTGTCTCAATGTTATTTCTAATATATTTTTAAAATCAGCCTCATTAGTGTATAAAGTGTGCATATCAGCATATTTGCTTCTATGTCCAGATTGTTTACCATGGGTTGAATATCTATTTATTATACATGTCGACCTGTGATCTACATTAGGATTTTCAACCATAGCACTATTGACATTTTCGGCTGGGTTGGATAATTCTTTTTGGAGGGGCTGCTGTTCCAGGCCATGTACATTGTAGAATGTTAAGCAGCATCCCTGGCTTCTTCCCACTAGATGCCAGTAGCACCCTCCTAGTTCTGATGACCAAAATGTCTCCCTCCAGATATTGCCAAATACCCTGTAGAGGTTAAAATTGTTCCTGCTCAGGAACCACTGGTCTGGACAAAATATTAGTTTGCAATTATTGAGTACTTATTATGTGCCAGGTATGGGTCTAAGTTCTTTATATATATTACTTGTTTAATCCTCTCAAAGCCTTTTGAGATGGATCCTTTATTACCTCATTTTAGAAGGGATGAAGCTGCAGGGTACAGTGACTGGCACCTGTAGTGCCAGCTACTCGGGAGGCAGGGGTGGGAGGATCGCTTGAGGCCAAAAGTCCAAGACCAGCCTGGGCAATATGGTGAAACCCCCATCTCTAAAATAAATAAATAAATAAAACATAAAAATAATTAGCCAGGTACGGTGACACAAGCCTGTAGTCCTAGCTTCTCGGGAGGCTGAGGCTGCTGTGAGCTATAATCATGCCGCCACACTCCAACCTGAGTGAGGGAATGAAACCCCGTCTCTAATAAAAAAAATTAAAAAATGATGAAGCTGAGGCCTGAGAGGTTAGGTAACTTGCCAACAGTAAAACAGGTAAGTGGAATTCAGAGATGGAATTAAAACCTAGAAAGGCTGGTTCTAAACTCAGCGCTCTTAATCATTATTAAACTGTTTCTCCATATTTCCTGGTAAAATTTCCTGACATTGAGTAAAGTTCCTAGCCAAAATTTGTCACGCACTTTACAGTTAAATGGCATAAGCGCTGGTTTAAAGCACTGTATGCCAGCCATGTAGAGAGAATAGTTAACTGGTATAAAGTCCACACATAGACTAGAGAGGGTCTAGAATTTGTTTTATAGTCTTTGTATTATAAATCTCATTTAAGCCATTGGATTTTACATCAGTTACCACTTTCTTTGCTTTTTTAAAAAAAGTATCATATTTTCATTTTAAAAATTATATCTCCATTAAACTAAGAAATGCAGAAAATTAGAACAAGGAGAAATATATCACTTAGTACTCAAGCGTAACTTCTGATATATTTCCTTCATGTTTTCTAGTGTAGTGGCATTTGTTTTTATTTTACATACTTGTAATCGTATCAATACTCTAGTTTTTTCACTGAAAATTGAATGTCAATTATGTTATTACATAGGATTCACAATCAGTGCAGTCATAAGCCACAAAATGACATTTTGGTCAGTCAACGATATATGTAGGACCACATATACCACAGTGGTCCCGTAAGTTAATGGAGCATATGTGGAAACTTGATATATGGCACTTGATAGTGGCATTGCAGGTCAAGTCGGGGAAATGATTGATACTCAGTAATGGTGCTAGGACATTCTGTTTTCCATATGGAAAAAAATAGATAAAAAATATATATTATCTAGGGGCTGGGCGCGGTGGCTCACGCCTGTAATCTTAGCTCTCTGGGAGGCCGAGGCGGGCAGATTGTTTGAGCTCAGGAGTTCGAGACCAGCCTGAGCAAGAGCGAGACCCTGTCTCTACTAAAATTAGAAAGAAATGGACAACTAAAAATATATAGAAATATAGAAAAAATTAGCCGGGCATGGTGGCGCATGCCTGTAGTCCCAGCTACTCGGGAGGCTGAGGCAGGAGGATCGCTTGAGTCCAGGAGTTTGAGGTTGCTGTGAGCTAGGCTGACGCCACGGCACTCTAGCCCGGGCAACACAGTGAGACTCTGTCCCAAAAAAAAAAAATATATATATATATCATCTAGGGTTGTTAAAGTACATTCTGTAATGTTTGCACAGTGGCGAAATTGCATAACGATGCATGTCTCAGAACGTATCCCCATTGTCAAGTGAGGGATGACTGTATTTTTAAATGACTAATATTCCACTGATTGTGTATATGATAGTTTCCTTTGAAATTCCTCTTGTATTCTAATTTATTCCAATGTTTTAGGTTGCTTTCAAATATGTTTTAATGACAATCTTTGTGTATTGTTCCTTTTTCTGTAGTTAGGGTTATTTAGTCTGATTTTCTTTAGAAGGAAAATCAGGGTCATTATCAAGAAAGCACTGCACTTTGTTTTCATCTCTGACTGTTAATACAATTACTTTGGGTCTTTGGTATTTATTATTTAGGCCTTATGAGATGTTCAGTAAGGCATGTGGTAGATTATACTTAGAGCAGTTGCTATGCAAGTTGGGTTTAACCCTTTTCTTTTCTCTAGGATGTTTTAGAAGAATGTATGACTCTTCCAAAGCTATCTTCTTACTCTGGATGGGTGGTAGATCATGTCCTACCCCATACACAGGAGAACCCACTACCCTCTGAGACCTCACCATCCCCTAGGTACACTTCAGCCCTAGACCAACCCTCATGTGTTCCCAAATCTCCTGTCAGAAACTCTGCCTTCTCACCAGCCTCCCCTGCAACACCGAATGGAACCAAGGTAAGGTTTTAATCAGTTCAAGATAAAAGGTATGGTTGCTGCAAAGTTACAGTGTTTAATATTGTCACGTGACAGTGACCATACGCAGCAGAAAATAATGATTGCTTCTTATTGCAGCTGTTTACTGCATTGTTCAGTGTTCTCTTGATGAAGACCCAGAAGGAGAAATTCCCCTCTATTCTTAGTACCAAGAATGATGTAATTAATTTTATGAGCAATTGGATTTTTTTTCCTCATGAATATTGCTTCTGTTTAACTGATAAGGTCCCCCTTATTGTGTTGGCTGCTGGAAAAAGGCTTAGAGCAAATTGTATACCTGCTCTTAAAGTTTACGTATCTTATCATTGGTTCTGTATGAGTTTTTATTCCTAGCTCTACTTTTTTTTTAATAATTTAAAGTTTTATCTATCAGCCACTTTTTCTCATACTCCAGCACATATATTGGATTACAATAAAACCGTTTTTCTTTTTTTTTTTTTTTTACAGGCTTAATTTTACTTTATTTTTCTTGTATAAAAATGCTATGTTATAGCCACAGCTGGAGCCTGGGTCCTCTGCACAGAGACTCTGGTGTGGGTCTTGACAAGATGGTCAGTGAATTCCTGGTAGGGAGACTTGGTGAATACTGTCTCTTTCCAGAGGTCAGGAGTCAGATAGCTATAGGTCTTGGAGATGGCATCAAAGATGGCCTTTGCGAAGTTGCCCAGGGTGGCAGTGCAGCCCCTGGCCGAGGTGTAGCAGTCATCAGTACCAGCCATCATCAACAGCTTCTTGGGCACAGGGGCTGAGACGATGCCAGTTCCTGTAGGGGCAGGGATGAGACGTACCAGCACAGTGCCGCAGCAGCCTGTCACCTTGTAAGGAACAGTGTAGGGCTTGCCGATCTTGTTCCCTCAGTAGCCTCTCTGCACAGGGACAATGGAGCGCTTGGCCAGGATGATGGCCCCTCAGATGGCAGTGGCTATCTCCTTTGAGAGATGCCCCCAGGAAAAAGTCAATGATCTCAGACTCCTTGATGGGCAAGGAGAACAGATAGATCTCCTCCAGGGATTTGATCTTCATGTCCTTAACCAAGCGGCCCAGCTTGGTGATGGGCATCCACTCCTTGTCCCCGGCCTTGCCTCCGCGAGCTCCGTGGCCTCGGCCCTGGCCCTGGCCCCGACCACAGCCGCGACCCCGGCCCCAGACGCCACTGCCAAAGCCTCCACGGAAGCCACCGCAGCCTCCCATTCCAGGGCCCTGGGGCCTTCGGGCCCTCCTGCTGCACCAGCGTCATCCGCCATTTGGTGTTTTTTCGGAGAAGAAGCAAAACCGTTTTTCTTAGACATAGGTTCACAGCTATAAGTTGACCATTCAGCCAGAATTTTTTCCAAGGGACTTTTAGATGGAACTTTTTAAATGTTGTGACAAAACTCACAAATAACAAACACAGACAATTTTCAACACAAAATGTCAGGCTTATCAAATGGGAATCCAAAGGGGACAGATGCCACCCCAAAATGCCCTGTTTCTGGCTTGAGTTTTTTTTTTTTTTATTATTGTTATTGGTGGTTGTTCATAAGTTGGAATGTGATCTTTGTCTAGAAGAGTTAACACCAACTTTACCATGTTAAAAGCTTAATTCCTTTTTCATCTTCTTTCCACATAGGATAAACAGGAGTCCCCACATACAGAATCTATGGTACTTCAGTCTTCCCGGGCAATCAAAGTGGAAGGCTGCATCCGAATGTACGAACTGGTACACAGAATGAAAGGAACGGTAGGTGAACCTGTGAAATGAGGCAGGCTTGACCCTAGGGGGCCACATTGAACTGCAATTCCCCAGGGCTTAGCAATGCCCTCTGTACACCACTCTTCCTTCCCACCCACTGTTCCTTTGGGGAGAAAGTATAATGTAGAGGTCAAGAGTGAAGTCAAATGTGCTTTCCAATCCTGGCTCTTCTATTTTACATGTGATTTTAGGAAAATTACTTAGGCTTTCCTGGCTTCCATTTACTTCTCCAAAATTTGAAAATGGTCTGGGGTTGTCAAATAAGCTTCTACTGAGAAGATGGGACCATAACAGCTTCTTGGGGGGAACAAAGCACTATTTTAATTAATTTATTTGACTTTATTATTTTGTTAATTAGAAAAGTAATGCATGATTTTGTAAAAAATGTTTTTAGAGTATAGGAATTTATAAAACAAAAGTCTTCTGGCATCTTTATTCATTCATTTAATAATTGAGTCAGCAAATATTTATTTATTTGCTTGTTTGTTTATTGAGACAGTCCTCACTCCGTTCCCTGGGCTACAGTGCTGTGGCGTCAACCTAGCTCACTGCAACCTCAAACTCCTGGGCTCAAGTGATCCTCCTGCCTCAGCCTCCCGAATAGCTGGGACTACAGGCATGCGCCACCATGCCTGGCTAATTTTTTCTATATATTTTTAATTGTCTGCTAATTTCTTTCTATTTTTTTTTTTTAGTAGAGACGGGGTCTCACTCTTGCTCAGGCTAGAGTAAATATTTATTGAGTACCTATGTGCCAGATGCTGTTCTAGGTCTAGATAAAACAGTGAACAAAGTAGACATGAACCCATGCTCTCATACATCTTATATTCTGGTGGGGAGAGACATAAGTAAACAAGAGAAATAAGTAAAATATAGTTAAACTCTTATAATCTGGGTGAATGATGGTGGTTGCTTAGATGAGGGTGGTAGCAATGGAGATGGTGAGAAATGGATAAATTCTGAATATCTGAGTGGCCTTATACTGGAAGCTTTAAAAGAAGTTTTAAAATAAAATAACAGACCAGGCAAACTGGCTCATGCCTGTAATCTCAGCACTTTGAGAGGCCAAGGTGGAAGTATCACTTGAGGCCAGGAGTTCAAGACCAGCCTGGGTAACATAGAGAGATCCCATCTCTACAAAAGAAATTTTTTAAAATTAGCCAAGTGTGGTGGCATGCACCAGTAGTCCCAGCTACTTGCTTGAGCCCCAGAGTTCGAGCCTGCAGTGAGCTGGGATTGTGCCATTGCACTCCAGCTTGGGTGACAGAGCGAGAGCCTGTCTCTATAAAAATACATAAATGGGCCGGGCGCAGTGGCTTACTCCTGTAATCCTAGCACTCTGGGAGGCCGAGGCGGGCGGATTGTTTGAGCTCAGGAGTTCGAGACCAGCCTGAGCAAGAGCAAGACCCTGTCTCTAAGGCTGGGCGCGGTGGCTCACGCCTGTAATCCTAGCTCTCTGGGAGGCCGAGGCGGGCGGATTGTTTGAGCTCAGGAGTTCGAAACCAGCCTGAGCAAG